TTCTTGGTCCCCTCCTCTTCTCCTTGTACACAAACTCGCTCGGATCAGTCATTAGCCCGCATGGTTTTTCTTACCACTGCTACGCTGATGACACCCAATTAATTCTGTCCTTTCCCCCGCTCAGAGACCCAGGTCGTCGCACGCATCTCTGCTTGTCTAGCTGACATCTCTCAGTGGATGTCTGCTCACCACCTCAAGCTCAACCTTGACAAGACTGAGCTGCTCTTCCTTCCGGAAAAAGATTGTCCCACTCTTGACCTGACAATCAACATCGGCACCTCAGTTGTTTCCCCGACTCAGACTGCAAGGAATCTGGGTGTGACCCTAGATAACAACCTGTCCTTCACTGCAAACATAGCTGCTACAACCCGTTGCTGCAGATACACACTTTACAACATCAGGAGGATACGACCCCAGCTGACTCAGAAAGCGACTCAGGTTCTGGTCCAGGCTCTCGTCATCTCACGCCTAGACTACTGCAACTCCCTCCTGGCTGGTCTACCTGCATGTGCCATCCGACCTCTGCAGCTCATCCAGAATGCAGCGGCTCGTCTGGTCTTCAACCTTCCTAAATGTTCCCACTCCGCTCCTCCGCTGCCTTCACTGGCTTCCGGTAACTGCTAGAATCCACTTCAAGACACTGGTACTTGCTTACCATGGATCTGGCCCTTCCTACATCCAGGACATGGTTAAACCGTACACACCAGCGCGTGCACTCCGCTCTGCATCAGCCAAACGACTCGTTGCACCCTCGCTGCGAAGGGGACCCAAGTTCCCATCAGCAGAAACACGTGGGTTTGCTGTCCTGGCTCCAAGATGGTGGAATGAGCTCCCCATTGACATCAGGACAGCAGAAAGCTTACACACCTTCCAGACTGAAAACTCATCTCTTTCGACTCCACTTCGAGCGATAGAATTATTAACAAAGCACTTATATACTAATAAAGGGCTGGCTTACCTAAAGCCAGTTGAGTAGCACTTGAAATGTTTGGCTCTATGAAACCTGATGTACTTTATGATTCTGTTTTCTTCACGGTTGTGTCTTGTTGGTCGAACGCACTTATTGTAAGTCTCTTTGGATAAAAGCGTCAGCTAAATGCAATGAGAATCAAGCAGATCAAAGTTCACGTCTATTAAATATATTGCTCATAAATATGTTTTTATTTCTGAGATAACAGGAAGCAGGAAATGAGGTTTGGCACATCCTGCGTCTCCGGGCTCACATCTCACCAGCAACCGGAAACATCCAAACCATGATGTCATCATCGGGTGACACAGCGACCAAATCCATCGCCATTTTGTCAACAGGTGTTTGAATCCACAAAATGGAGACTGGAGGTTTGAGAGAGTGATCTGTAGAGAGTGATCTGTAGAGAGTAAAGTATGTGAGGAATGGAATATTAAATATCAGATTGAATATAAATGTAAAATGTACGGTGTGATTTAAAGAAGCAATGAGATCCTTCAGAACAAACCAAAGTGCTCGTGTCCGTTGTCAGAAAGTGTGTTTCTCCGTGTGACTCAGCTCTCTCTCCGCACCCTGACTGAGGAACCTGTCGCTCCTCACCTGGTTATAAACTGATGGTGTTTGTTTTGGGTCATTGCATGTTTCTCTGTGCCGAGCAGCTTCTGCCTAACCCGTTCTCCAGCAGCTGGAAAGTCCCTGCTCTCCTTCCCTTTCTGCCTCGTGACTCAGCTGTTCTGCTCCAGATATCTCATGTTGTGTTTCCTGTCTCTGAGATACAGCAACACGTGCAGACAGACTCCTTCCAGGAGGTCCGCGAGGCTTTGAGGTTAGCTTCCCTGTAACCTGAGACTCTGAGGCAGCAGCAGCACAACCACTCCTTTGCTCTGCAGCGTCGCTTCCTCACCTCGTCTCCTTTGCTCTGCAGCGTCGCTTCCTCGCCTCGACTCCTTTGCTCTGCAGCGTCGCTTCCTCACCTCGACTCCTTTGCTCTGCAGCGTCGCTTCCTCACCTCGACTCCTTTGCTCTGCAGCGTCGCTTCCTCACCTCGACTACTTTGCTCTGCAGCGTCGCTTCCTCACCTCGACTCCTTTGCTCTGCAGTGTCACTTCCTCACCTCGTCTCCTTTGCTCTGCAGCGTCGCTTCCTCACCTCGACTCCTTTGCAGCGTCGCTTCCTCACCTCGTCTCATTTGCTTTGCACCTTCGCTTCCTCACCTCGACTCCTTTGCTCTGCAGCGTCGCTTCCTCACCTCGACTCCTTTGCTCTGCAGCGTCGCTTCCTCACCTCGACTCCTTTGCTCTGCAGCGTCGCTTCCTCACCTCGACTCCTTTGCTCTGCAGCGTCGCTTCCTCGCCTCGACTCCTTTGCTCTGCAGCGTCGCTTCCTCGCCTCGTCTCCTTTGCTCTGCAGCGTCGCTTCCTCACCTCGACTCCTTTGCTTTGCAGCGTCGCTTCCTCACCTCGACTCCTTTGCTCTGCAGCCTCGCTTCCTCACCTCGTCTCCTTTGCAGCGTCGCTTCCTCGCCTCGTCTCCTTTGCTTTGCAGCGTCGCTTCCTCGCCTCGTCTCCTTTGCTCTGCAGTGTCGCTTCCTCACCTCGACTCCTTTGCTCTGCAGCGTCGCTTCCTCACCTCGACTCCTTTGCTCTGCAGCGTCGCTTCCTCACCTCGACTCCTTTGCTCTGCAGCGTCGCTTCCTCACCTCGACTCCTTTGCTCTGCAGCGTCGCTTCCTCACCTCGACTCCTTTGCTCTGCAGCGTCGCTTCCTCGCCTCGACTCCTTTGCTCTGCAGCGTCGCTTCCTCGCCTCGTCTCCTTTGCTCTGCAGCCTCGCTTCCTCACCTCGTCTCCTTTGCAGCGTCGCTTCCTCGCCTCGTCTCCTTTGCTTTGCAGCGTCGCTTCCTCGCCTCGTCTCCTTTGCAGCCTCGCTTCCTCACCTCGTCTCCTTTGCTTTGCAGCGTCGCTTCCTCACCTCGTCTCCTTTGCTTTGCAGCGTCGGTATATGTATTGATCAGGTATGTGTATTGATCAGGTATGTGTATTGATCAGGTATTTGTAGTGATCAGTAGATGTGTATTGATCAGGTATGTGTATTGATCAGTAGATGTGTATTGATCAGGTATGTGTATTGATCAGGTATGTGTATTGATCAGGTATGTGTATTGATCAGGTATGTGTATTGATCAGTAGATGTGTATTGATCAGGTATTTGTATTGATCAGGTATGTGTATTGATCAGGTATTTGTATTGATCAGGCATTTGTATTGATCAGGTATTTGTAGTGATCAGGTATGTGTATTGATCAGGTATGTGTATTGATCAGGTATTTGTATTGATCAGGTATGTGTATTGATCAGGTATATGTATTGATCAGGTATTTGTAGTGATCAGGTATGTGTATTGATCAGGTATATGTGTATTGATCAGGTATTTGTATTGATCAGGTATGTGTATTGATCAGGTATTTGTATTGATCAGTAGATGTGTATTGATCAGGTATGTGTATTGATCAGGTATTTGTATTGATCAGGTATGTGTATTGATCAGGTATTTGTATTGATCAGGCATTTGTATTGATCAGGTATTTGTAGTGATCAGGTATGTGTATTGATCAGATATTTCTATTGATCAGGTATTTGTATTGATCAGGTATTTGTATTGATCAGGTATGTGTATTGATCAGGTATTTGTAGTGATCAGGTATTTGTAGTGATCAGGTATGTGTATTGATCAGGTATGTGTATTGATCGGGTATGTGTATTGATCGGGTATGTGTATTGATCAGGTATGTGTATTGATCAGGTATGTGTATTGATCAGGTATTTGTATTGATCGGGTATGTGTATTGATCAGGTATGTGTATTGATCAGGTATGTGTATTGATCAGGTATGTGTAGTGATCAGGTATGTGTAGTGATCAGGTATTTGTATTGATCGGGTATGTGTATTGATCAGGTATGTGTAGTGATCAGGTATGTGTATGGATCAGGTATTTGTATTGATCAGGTATGTGTATGGATCAGGTATTTGTATTGATCAGGTATGTGTATTGATCAGGTATGTGTATTGATCAGGTATTTGTATTGATCAGTAGATGTGTATTGATCAGGTATGTGTATTGATCAGTAGATGTGTATTGATCAGGTATTTGTATTGATCAGGTATTTGTATTGATCAGTAGATGTGTATTGATCAGGTATTCGTATTGATCAGGTATTTGTATTGATCAGTAGATGTGTATTGATCAGGTATGTGTATTGATCAGGTATTTGTATTGATCAGGTATGTGTATTGATCAGTAGATGTGTATTGATCAGGTATGTGTATTGATCAGGTATGTGTATTGATCAGGTATGTGTATTGATCAGGTATGTGTATTGATCAGTTATGTGTATTGATCAGGTATGTGTATTGATCTGTAGATGTGTATTGATCAGGTATGTGTATTGATCAGGTATGTGTATTGATCAGGTATTTGTAGTGATCAGGTATTTGTATTGATCAGGTATGTGTATTGATCAGGTATGTGTATTGATCAGGTATTTGTATTGATCAGGTATGTGTAGTGATCAGGTATGTGTATTGATCAGGTATGTGTATTGATCAGGTATGTGTATTGATCAGGTATTTGTATTGATCAGGTATTTGTAGTGATCAGGTATTTGTATTGATCAGGTATGTGTATTGATCAGGTATGTGTATTGATCAGGTATGTGTATTGATCAGGTATGTGTATTGATCAGGTATGTGTATTGATCAGGTATTTGTATTGATCAGGTATGTGTATTGATCAGGTATATGTATTGATCAGTAGATGTGTATTGATCAGGTATTTGTATTGATCAGGTATGTGTATTGATCAGGTATTTGTATTGATCAGTAGATGTGTATTGATCAGGTATGTGTATTGATCAGTAGATGTGTATTGATCAGGTATTTGTATTGATCAGGTATGTGTATTGATCAGGTATTTGTATTGATCAGGTATTTGTATTGATCAGGTATTTGTATTGATCAGGTATTTGTATTGATCAGGTATGTGTATTGATCAGGTATGTGTATTGATCAGGTATGTGTATTGATCAGGTATTTGTAGTGATCAGGTATTTGTATTGATCAGGTATGTGTATTGATCAGGTATTTGTATTGATCGGGTATGTGTATTGATCAGGTATGTGTATTGATCGGGTATGTGTATTGATCGGGTATTTGTATTGATCAGGTATGTGTATTGATCAGGTATGTGTATTGATCAGGTATTTGTATTGATCAGGTATTTGTATTGATCAGGTATGTGTATTGATCAGGTATGTGTATTGATCAGGTAGATGTATTGATCAGGTATGTGTATTGATCAGGTATGTGTATTGATCAGGTATGTGTATTGATCATGTATGTGTATTGATCAGGTATTTGTATTGATCAGGTATGTGTATTGATCAGTAGATGTGTATTGATCAGGTATGTGTAGTGATCAGGTATTTGTAGTGATCAGGTATGTGTATTGATCAGGTATGTGTATTGATCAGGTATTTGTATTGATCTGTAGATGTGTATTGATCAGGTATGTGTATTGATCAGGTATGTGTATTGATCAGGTATTTGTATTGATCAGGTATGTGTATTGATCAGGTATGTGTATTGATCAGGTATTTGTATTGATCAGGTATGTGTATTGATCAGGTATATGTATTGATCAGGTATGTGTATTGATCAGGTATGTGTATTGATCAGTAGATGTGTATTGATCAGGTATGTGTATTGATCAGGTATGTGTATTGATCAGTAGATGTGTATTGATCAGTAGATGTGTATTGATCAGGTATGTGTATTGATCAGGTATTTGTATTGATCAGGTAGATGTGTATTGATCAGGTATGTGTACTGATCAGGTATGTGTATTGATCAGTAGATGTGTATTGATCAGGTATGTGTATTGATCAGGCATATGTATTGATCAGGTATATGTATTGATCAGGTATGTGTATTGATCAGGTATGTGTATTGATCAGTAGATGTGTATTGATCAGGTATATGTATTGATCAGGTATGTGTATTGATCAGGTATGTGTATTGATCAGGTATATGTATTGATCAGGTATGTGTATTGATCAGGTATGTGTATTGATCAGTAGATGTGTATTGATCAGGTATGTGTATTGATCAGGTATTTGTATTGATCAGGTATGTGTATTGATCAGGTAGATGTATTGATCAGGTATGTGTATTGATCAGGTATGTGTAGTGATCAGGTATTTGTATTGATCAGGTATGTGTATTGATCAGGTATGTGTATTGATCAGGTATGTGTATTGATCAGGTATTTGTATTGATCAGGTATGTGTATTGATCAGGTATGTGTATTGATCAGGTATGTGTAGTGATCAGGTATGTGTATTGATCAGGTATGTGTAGTGATCAGGTATTTGTATTGATCAGGTATGTGTATTGATCAGTAGATGTGTATGCTGTTCTCTCTTCAGGTGAACCCCCGCTGTCTCTCCGGGACTCCCCTCATTTCCCCTGAGAGTGACAGCGCACTATTTATTTCCTGCTGCGCAGTTCACAGTCTGAGTCTGAGCAACAGCTCCCCTGCTGGTTGAGTTCGGAACTGTTCCCAGCAGTCACGTGATTTCCTGTAAACAGTCCCACCAGCAGGAGGTGAAATACATCCATGGGTGAATCCACTGCTCCTGAGCGCCATCTAGTGGGAACAACTGGAACTTAAACAACAAAGACGTGTGCAGACCTTTATGTCTCCAGTGTGTGGTTCAGGTCCA